ATTTTGAAGCACGACATTTGTGACAAATATATGAATGGAACAGTTGTAGTTCAGTGTATAAATTGTTGGTCAGATCTTTATGCTAAGCCTTTATTAAACTTTCACAACTTTTTAATGTTTGTGGTACATTGACCAAACGAGAAAATCTATCTACTATATCATTATACATCTTTCTTTGTCTACTCATCTCTGTCTCAAGTTTGATGTAGAATACAGAAGTAGGAAATTGGTCTCTGGCATTCAGAGATAGCTCAGAGATATTTCCATTAACCCTCAATGTCTTTCGTTTACGATTGCGAGTCATAATTGACTTATATTCTCCACCTGGTGTTATTTCTTTTGCAGCTTTTTCAAATATTTCAAATTTATTTCTGGTTTTATGCAAATGATCTGCTAGTGACGAATATAAATCAGCACACGTTTTCAAGTTTAGGTGCTCATTTTGTAGAGCTTGGTTGACTCTGTGATAACGTCGTAACACTTTTTCCCAAAAAACAAACATGAAGGCAAATTCTAATTCTTGCATTTTCTTCACAATATTTTCCGCTTCTCTTCTGAGAATCGCTTAAGTTGCAACAGCATGTGCTTCCCATCTGGTGTCGTAAAGAGACTTTACCGGCGTTTAATTCGCAAGACATCCTTTTAGAATCTTCTATCTGTTGGCTAAAGCTGAGGAAAAATTATGAATCAATTGCACTTGTATAGAATAAGCTTACTACCTCCAAACAAGAGTCAACGGCACTGTATCTATGTATCTCTATCTACTGATTTTGTAACTTGACGTAACTGACGTAGTTGGAACATACATTTTTTAACCAATAGACTGACTTGTGGACCCATTGTCATATGAGAATCCATTACAATTCCTAAATTGGTGACCGTACAGTAAAATTTAGATTGCAACAGAAATATAAATAAATTCATCGTTCACAAAGTTAAATGTCAATGAGAAATGTATTGAAATGTGAAGATTAAAAGATTTCTACATAATCATTCAGAAAGTCGCAAGTGAACGAGGCATCTACGTACCCACACAAAACGTACATGATCACAAATTGAGTGAAGTATACATAACTACGTATACAGACACATATACGTATGCATAGTTAAAACCAGGGCTTCGAACCGTGATTTTTTTCTTTCCGGTTTTCGGTTTCGGTTCGACTAACAAAATATATTTCGGTTCAGTTCCGGTTTTCGTTCCAGATAAAATTTCGTTTCGGTTCCGGTTATCGGTTCAGTTTCGAGAAACGTTTTTACCCATCAAAGTTATTAAATTTTGTAAATGGTCATCACAATCCTACTGGCGCAAATTTGTAAAGCAAAGTAAAGAACACTTATAAAGTGATGTAAAATTATTGATAAGAAGCCAATTTAATTTTCAGTTTTCATAAAAAATTTTAAATTAAAAATTCCGTAATAAATAATGCAATGCAATAATCATGAAACTTAGCAAAAAAAAAACTAATTGTCTTCCAGACAAGAAATGAAAAGTGAATTTCTTTGACATTACGTGGTGGAGCGCGCTAATAAATTTGCGGGCAAATATATTTAATTAATTATATTTAATTGCGTTTTTGTAAATGTTGCCGGTATCACGTGTATCGGATATTCTAGTTATTGACATATCATTGTTAATTAAATTTCAACTCATTAAGAAACTATTAGTCATGAATTTTTTAAGTTTCTAAATATACAAAAAAATGTGTTTAAATATATTTTTAGCCAGCAAATGGAAACAAAGTATAAAAATGCATAACATTTCTCAGAAAAGAAAAGTATATATTTATATACAATGACTAAAACAGATGAAAATTTCCTCTAATTAATAAATTCTTCTATTTATAGAAGTGCTCGTTATAAAAAATATATTAACGGCTTCGAACCGGAACGTTATTTTTTTCGTTCCGGTTTTCGGTTTCGGTTCGGCAAGCAAAAAAATATTTCGGTTCAGTTCCGAGTTTCGTTC